CCCCAAAACCCCAAAACCCCAAAACCCCAAAACCCCATAAACATTCCCAACAGCTTTTTTATAATATAAAAATGTCCCAAAGTCATCTCTCAGACCTTAACCTCAATTCTTCAATATCAAAAGAAGACTCTCCAAAAGAAGCTAATTTTCAGCTGTAAGCTCTAAATAGCCCAATTCTGATGTTATAACTAGAGAATAGGTGGGTTAGAGAAGCCAACCAAGAACTTTCACCAATCCAGAGTGGAGTAAGACTATGAAGTTATGTCCATAGTATCATTCATCAGATGGAGGAACTATCCTCACAGGATACAACACAGAATATATCAAGAAGACTCCAAGGGCTAGACAAAGAAGAGCTTTGTAAAGTAAGACTCGATCAAAGATATCTTCCCCAAATCTTAGGGTTGTGTAATCAGTGATTTAGCACCTAGCAAGAAGAAATGGAAATCCTCTCCCATTGTAATTTCGTTACATATTATTCAATAGACTCTCAGAAAGCTAAGTTTGAGAGGAAAGAAATCTACCTCGAATCCCCTAAAAGATCTCATAATGTTGAAATGACAAAGAAACAATCCAGTTTTGCTCCTATAAAAGTCTCTAAACCTCCAAATGATCAAGAGATCAACAGTAATAACTCTTCATATCCTAACAGTATTCCTAAAACTCCTAATAACAATGAAATAGCAGGTAATTCCTTCTATTAGCATCTTAAATATCTATAGAACATCGAGGTAGGAATACCATCATCGATAAAAGACTTTTGCTTAAAAATAAATTGTTCAGTCCTGCCTCAAATAGCCAAGAAGCTTCAAACTCTAAGTCTTTCAAGCGAAGTTCAACCACGAGGATCCCTAAGAAAGATATTAAAGATGTAAAAGCATTCTATCTAGACGGGTCTTCTGATGAAGAGCTACCTACACCTGGCAGCCAAAAGAAACTTAAAATGAGCAAGAAGCAGATTGTAGAAGAGTCAGAACTTATCCAAACTCTTCGTAAAAATTGGGACTGGATCTATACAAATATTGTTGTCAAGAAAAGGCGTGAAATAATTCTCAGAGACAATTGTAACAATATTCATTATGATATCAAGGACAAGAAGAAACTTCTTACTCCTCCAGAGTTTTATCTTGATCTTTCAAAATTAGAGAAGGTTATGATGAACCATCAAGAAGAACTTCCAACCAGCCTAGCTGATATTAGCAAGAAAGATATCAGAGAATTCTTCTACCTTAGATGAAATGTCAAGCGAGGGCTAGTCCATCTAGCTTCGTGAGCTAAAATATTCAACTGTGAGATCACTGATTTAATTCAAAAACAAAAGCCGTACATGAACAAACTTTTGAAGAACCCCAGAAAGCAGTTGAAGAAAATGATCCAAAAGAAAGTTATGAGGGAATTTGCTCCGAAGAAAGACCTTCTTTTTCTTGAGCAGGGTATACGAATGACTCAAAATCTTAACAATAGAGTAAATATCAAGCCTCAAATCTTGAAGCAGTTAGATTCTTTATTTGACAAAAGTTCATCAATAACTCATTCAGAGTCTGATTCTTCCGGAAATATTTCCAATTTCTCAAATAAACTGCAAAGAGCGAATATCCTAGACTTTATTAGAGCTGTGAGGATGCTCAGAGAGGACTATATTCAAGCTTTTCACAGATGTTCAAAGCTCTCGCGGCAATCAAACTATAAAATGAAAATTTCAGGCTTTACAAAGTTCTGAGGAGCCATTCTTGACTTAGAGATCGATGAGAAAAACATAAATTATATCTTCCTGACCATCGATAAGGACAAGAATGGCTATATTGATGAAGACGAATTCATAGATATCATCGAAAACATCAAACCAAACGGCGATATCAAGAACAAGTAAGTCTGCTTCAACCTTTAGAAAAGCACTGGTTCAGCTCATCATAGATCAGATCTACCAAGAACTAATTAGTAGCAATAATCTGCGTATTAAAATTCTCAAGAAATCCCTTGATTCTGAAGGATTCATAAAAGTTTCAGAGTTAATATAGCATTTCTTAACAAATACAATATCCTGCTCAGTGATGAAGAAATTGAGCTGATTTTTCATGTCGAAGGCAAACTCTCCAAGCATAAGGAAAGAATGGTCGGCTTCAGAAAACTACTCGAGGATTGCATCTGTAAGATTTTCAGCTTAATCGTTATAGCACGCAGCAACTCAGTGATAAGGTATATCATACACAGAAAATTATAGCTTCAAAATTAATGCTCCCAGACGAAGTTCTGTATTTGAAAAGAGTTTGAAAGATGTCCCACTCATCCAAGAAATGATACCAGCTGATGACAGCCTTGCTACGTCTTATTACACCTCAGACAAAGATAGGGAGACTTCAGAAGGTTTGAAAGAATTGAAGGATGATCCCCTTGAATTGATTCAAGAGATGAGGAAAAATATTGGCAAACCTCAAATAGAAGTAATTCAAGAAAAGATTAACCTTGTAAAACAAGTAATTGTCTCAGTAATTTGTAGCTGCAATCTCAACAGATTATTAAGAAATCTGATCTTCCAATTCTCAAAGTGACGAGTTTTCAAAAGAAGATTTATCATCTAAATGAAAAATCAGAAGAGGCTGGAAATGGATCAAGAGTTGAAAAGGATGCAGACTTTCAATTTCAAAAAGATAATAAACTTAAGGCTCTTTACAAGAACAGAAGTATTATTAAAAAAAATGTATAATTTAGAATTTTTTTCGCCAAATTACAAATTTGATGAAATTGCTCAAGACAACAATACTAAGGCATCCAGCCAGAATTTCAAGTGAGAGGGTTTTATATATTCAAATATCAACCCAAGCTCTGAAAATAGAAAGACAACCTCGCCTTTAAAGCCTAGAAAATGTATTATAACCAATACCACCACTCTAAATATCCTTTAGAGTCTCAATCTTCAACCAAACTTCACCCAAATTCCTCCAAAAATCATGATACTTTCCAAATAAACAAATTCCAATGCTCTCAAAATGACCTCTCTCAAGGTACAAATCCCTTATCCCTTCACTTGCTTGGCCAAATTCAAACCTTCCATTTAAACCCAATTTCACTGAACTTAGCAAACAAGGACAAAGATATTCTCCTAAAATACATTAAAAATCAAGAAGAATTGACCAAGATCTTCACTGAGCCTGCTAGTAAAGACCAAAACTCTTCAGAGGATCCTCAAAAGGTTGATATACAAGATTATTGTAAGAGAAGAGGTAGTCAGCCAGTTTGATCTGGAGACTGATTATTAGTGTACCTTACTTGTGGAGAGTTGGAAAAAGAAAGGATTGTGAACTGATTCTGAAAGATTTTTGAGTACTTAGAGTCTTATAGAGCGGATAAGAGTGAGGATGTGGGTTTAATGATGTGATGATGGGTATAGATCTCTCAATATCTGTCCATGAATCAGTACACAAAGTTGATCAACAGCTTGTATCCTTCAGTAATGGACTTCAGTGGGAAATAAAGTCAAATCTGTCCTTAAATTCCATCTCAAATTTAATTCTAAAGGTACTGATATGTGTTAGATTTTAGAAAATATTGTGAATGAAACAGGTTTGAGAGAGTTTATTCAGCGAGAAAAAGAGATTATTGAGCTGAGAGCAGAGTTCATTAAAGAAGGACAAGAGTTCCTGAAACCTAAATTTCTTGAGATGATCGAAAATTTTCATAAAGAATGCCCAAAAGAAACAAGTTCAAAATTTGAGGTTTATAAGGCTAAGACAAAACCTTTGGCAAAGCCATTTCAAAGTGTTAATACAAGAAAGTATTTTTATGGTTTATTGTTATAGATATCACAGGAGATATGAGAAGGTAGAGCATATTTACAGTTTAGATACCTGAATATTGACATGGACAGAGTATCCTCACAAACTCTCAAAGATTGAGCAAGTAAGCCTAAAACTCTTACTAAAACTGCAAAACATAATTTCACTCCTTTAGCCAGAACTTTCTTCTACCACCTAAAAAGCTATGCAAAACCTCTCCTTTGACTAAAAATTACTATATCCAGCAAACCTGAGGTACTCAATTTCTTCACCCATAGCCTATGCCAGATCAAAGGCTGATTCAATGGCCAATCACTACAGATCCCTACAAAAATTCAGGAAGACAATACAGGATAATTTCAGTGATTAATCCATTCAAAATCTGTCAATCCTTTTTAATTCATAAGGGGTTTTGGGGTTTTGGGGTTTTGGGGTTTTGGGG